GAACCATGGAAATTTATGCCATGCTAATTAGTAGAGGTGAGAAACATTACCATTGAAATCTGCCCGATGACTTTATAGACATACACAGGCGTCAAGGATCCAAGTGCAACCGATTATGACTAGTAATAACCAGATACATACAGATTAGAGATCTCAGTGTTAGTAGCAAAAGCAATGAGTCTTTCAGTGTCACCAGCACAGGGAGGGTTGCCTGTGCTGTTTTTAAACACAGAGCCCCTGGGAGCAGAGGACACATTCTAGTTCCAAGCTGCTGAAGACAGGCTCCACCCAGCCGCCTTGCAGCAGCAGCCTACTCCTGGCTCTACAAAGGCCTGTCCCAAGGGGAGTTGTGGGTTGAGGAGAGTTTCAGACAGTAAGGAGGAAGATCAGTCCAGGTCTGAACTTGAACAAAGATTAATGCTGACAGCACAGTTATGAGACTGTCAGAATTGAGAAAGACAGCTAAGACACTTCAGGCCAGATCCAAACTCTGCAGGACAAAGGACATGCAAGGTGGGATGAACTTTACAAAATCACAGAGGGCAGAATTGGTCTTTGAGGAGTTGCTAGTCTTTTGTTTAAGAGTTTGGTAAATATCTTGGTAGAGAAGTGGATGAAACCCAGGGTTCTCACAGCAGGAGCAGGTCATCTCTTCCCCCCAAACTGGCCCTGATCAGGAATATCTGACTGCTTAGTCACCTCACCTACTAGCCTGCCAGCTTGCCAACCTGCCAGTCCATCCTTCCTACTCACTCTCAAGGTTCTCTTAATAATTCAACTGTAAACCTAAAAATTTACAGCCAGTTTTGAAAGAGATATGTCTTAGCTCTGGAAATTGTTATTGAATATGTCAATGCTGTTTTAATGAAAGGCTTCTTCTAAGTACTCAGAAGGCAGAGGTAGGCGGATCCCTGTAAGTTTGAAGCCAGTCTGGTCTATATAGTGAGTTCCAGGTCAGCTGGGGCTACAGGGAGACCCTGCCTCAAAAAGACAAAAATTTTTTTGCCTTGTTTTTTAATTTTATTATTTTTTTTATTATATGTATATGTGTGTGTCCATGTGCAGGTTTCCACAGTGCTGGAGCTACTGGCCGCTGTGAGCTGAGCCACCTGATGTGGGTGCTGGAAATAAAATTCAGGTCCTCTGGAAGAGCAACATGTGCTATTAATCACTGAGTCATTTTTTTTTTTAATATCCTGGTGAGTTTTGTGTTTTGTTTTGTTTTGTTTGTAGCAAAGAAACAGAGAAATACTGTGGGCACTGATTTGAGACCAAACATCAGTATGAATAAGACTAGGGTAGAGTAGACAGTTTAAGCAAGGATGTAAGATGGGGAAGTCAGTCCCTCCAGGTCTTTTTGGGGTTTTTTTGGTCTTTTTGAGACAGGGTCTTCCTGTAGCCCCAGCTGTCCTGGATTCACTATGGAGACCAAGCTGGCCTTGACCTCACAGAGATCTGCCTGCCTCTACCGCTGAGTGCTGGGATTAAAGGTGTGTGCCACCACACCTGGCCACCTATTTATTTTTATTTTATGTGTATGAGTGTTTTGCCTGTAAGTGCACCCATGTGAGCAATCCCTTGGAGGGCAGAAGAGGGCCTCCGGAGTGCTGAGATCTGAATCCCCTGGAACTGGAGTTACAGGCAGTTGTCCGTCTCCATGTGGGTCCTGGGAACCCAACCCAGGCTTTCTACAAGGGCAGCCAGTGCTCTTGGCTGCTGATCGATCTCTCCAACCCCATCAGTAAGTTTCTTAACCATTCTGAACCACAGTTTCTCAGTCTACAGTGTGGATATGATAGGTCCCTTGTAGGATTACTGCGAGAATCAAGAGGATGGTATGTGATAGAAGTGAATCACCATAGCTTAGCTGCCATGTTAATACCATAATAATTACTAGACTATGAACTCCATAAGAGGCAGACACCCATGTGAACATGTGAATTATTTCCGTTTCCTCCTCTAGAGACCCAGATATTATACCTAGTATGGGGCTAACAAATTTGCTGACTGCTGTGCTTTTAATTCTATTATTCTGTGCCATACTTTTATTTTATTGATTGATTGATTGATTGATTGATTGATTGATTGGTTGATTGAGACAGGGGCTCCCTGTAGCTCCAGTTGGCCTGGAACTCACTATGTAGACCAGGCTGGCCTTGATTTCCAGAGATCTGCCTGACTCTGCTTCCCAAGTGCTGGGATTAAAGGCAAAGACCACCATGCATGGCCCATCATTACTTTTAAACTGTTTTGCAAGTTTGCAACTTGTAGATGACTGATAATGGAGTAACTCTAGTAATTCTCCTCTCTAGACTTGAAAGTTCTGCCCATGATGTGTTCCCTCCCTGCTGGATTCACTGCTTACTGTATAGTAGAAAGCTCTAGCTCTGAGTCCCTTGCTTGGCAAACAGCTTATAACATCTCACTCCTTCATTTTTTATTATTTTTATTTTATGTGTATGAGTGTATTAATTACCTGTATGTGTGTAAGTGCACCAGTGTCATAAAATGCCTTCAGAAGTCAAAAAAAGGCACTCGATGCCCAGTTACAGGCTGTTGCTAGCCTCTGCAAGAGCGGTCAGTGCTCTTAACCAGAGAACCATCTCTCCAACCCCTCCTTTCTTAGTAAGGAGTTAAATGAGACCTTCGGCATAAGTTCTGTATCTGTATGAGTTGCAAGTTTACTTTCTTCTTCTCTCTCATCCCCCTTTTGTGTTGTTTGTTTTTTTGTTTTTTAACGTTTGTTGGTCTTTATTATTGAGCTTCTGTAAGCTACAAGCACCAAGCCTCTTGGGATCAGACACTTTCCGATATCATTAAGTGTTCATTTCTGGTTCAGATGCAGAAGGAGGAAGCGTCCTTGCTCCTAGAAGTCTGGGGTTCAAATCCTGTGCCATTCGGTGAGGGACACAGAGGAAAGCCCGTGTTCCTGAGCTCAGTCTGTCAGGCTGTGAAATCGGCCCTTAAGGGATGCTGACCCCAGGAGCAGCGCCTTTCTGTGTTGGGGTCCCCGGAGGCTAGGAGCCCTAGACTGCTCCTGTGGGAAGGTCGCTTTCGGGGTCCCTGGCTGCCCGCTGCCCGCGGAGTGTAGAGGAACCTCTGGAGGGGGCGGTTCTCTGGATCCAGAAAGCCCGGAGCCGCCCAGGAATTTTGGCTCCGGCTGTAAGCATTTCCTCCAGGCCAGCGCGGCGCGATCCCGGGGAGGGTGGCTGTGGGCAGACTCCGCGCTGCGCCCCGCGGTTCCGCACCATGCGGTCGCTGCTCTGCGCGCTGGCGGGGCTCGCCATGCTGCGCGCCTCAGGCGCCCTGGCCGGTGAGTGGGGCACCAGGGCGGGCGGAGGACCCAGGGACACCCCGGGATAGCGAGGTAGGTAGGAGCGAGGGATCCAGAGACAGAGACACGGGGAGAGATAGAGGGAGGGAGAAATGATGGTGAGAGACACCGAGGGACCGGAAAAGCAGAGATAAAGGACAGAGGAACAGAGATGAAGAAGAGGCTGAGACAGAAAAAGGCTTTGGAGATAAACACATGTGAACTAGGACAGCAAGAGAAGGGAGTTTGAGAAAAGCAAAGCAAGAAGTAAGGACTCTGGTGAAGAAGAACGGTAAGAAAGATTTGGGGGAGAGAGCGCGGCAACCGGATGCCAGGGAGGGCTGAGGGCTGAGTCGGGCTGGGCGGAGGTCCAGTCCACAGGGTGCGGCCGCCCTGGGGCCAGGGCATCCCAGAGGCCAGCGGAGGCGCCCAGCCAGGCTGTAGAGGGCATCGCGTTAAAAGCGGAGCCTGAAAGGGCCAGTGACCCAGGGCCAGCACCAACTTTGGGGAGACAGACAAGGGATCCCTAGGAAAAGGCACCGTTTCACCTGCCTGGTGGCCTGAGGGGTCTGTGGTGAGATGAGGTTGCCAGCCTCCAGGTTCCCAGAACTGTCCAAGGGCTATTGCTCATCCCAGTTCTACTGTGAGGAGGACGCTTGGGCTTCACTGTGCCAAGACAGACCTCCCACCAAGACCCAGGCCTCTTGCCCCTCAGGCCCTTGCCACAGTCAGGCAGAAGTGTCGGCAATAAGACCGAAGCTCGGATCATTTTTCCGAGATCCTCCACAGAGAGGAGGGAGCCAGCCCAGATTTGGAGGAGCATCTTTGGCGTGAATCTTTCAGAGGCTGGCTCAGGGAGTGACTAAAGGAGAGCCCAGGCAGGGGACGTACAGCCCTAGTTCTCAGACCATCAACCGCTCTGGCGTAGGGTTTCCATCTGTTACAGAGTGGCTGGCGTTCCATCCAGCACAGAGCTCTGTCCACAGAGCACCACCTCCCTTTAAAGCCCTTTCCTCCTTAGATCCTCTTTTCTCAGGTTGGCCTGGGCTGTGGAGCTGGGGACCTCTACTCAGCTTGTGTCTCCCCCAGGAAGGAGCTAGCCCTGCCCACAAACCACTTTCCTGGTCCCTTAAGCCATAAGCTATTTTAAAACACTACTTTTCAGCCAGGCATGTTGGCACACTCCGGAGACAAAGACAGGCAGATCTTTGTGAGTTTAAGACCAGTCTGGTCTACATGGTGAGTTCTGGGCTAGCCAGGGCTACACAGTGAGACCTTATTTTTTTTAAAAAAAGGAAAAAACAAAAAACCCACAATGGGCTGGAGAGATGGCTCAGTGGTTAAGAGCACTGGCTGTTCTTGCAGAAGACCCAGGTTCGAATCCCAGCACCCACAAGGAAGGCAGCTAACAACTGCCTATAGCTCCAGTTCCAGGGGATCTGACACCTTCTTCTTACCTTTTCGGGTATTGCACAGTGCTGGTGCGTCTACACACATGCAGGCAATGCACACATAGACATAAAATAAAAATAAACCTTCCAGGGGATCTGACACCTTCTTCTTACCTTTTCGGGTATTGCACAGTGCCGGTGCGTCTACACACATGCAGGCAATACACACATAGACATAAAATAAAAATAAACAAAAACAAGCAAAAACTCACATTGTTAATTCCTTTCTAATTATGTGTGTTCGGTGTGACAGATTAAGAGAAAATATAAATGTACTAGTGTAATTCCACATGTTTTCACTTATAACCATTCAGATTTCAGATAATATCCATTGCTGTCTTTAACTTTCTAAAGCTATTTTTATTTGACACATTAATTTTACATATTTATGGCGTACAGATGTTCCTTAACTTTTTAAAAAGATTTATTTTTATTTTATGTGTTTTGCCTGCATGTATGCAAGTGTACCACATGCATGCAGTGTCTGAGGGGGCCAGAAGAGGACATCAGATCTCCTGGAACTGGAGTTACAGGTGATTGTGAGCTGCCAGATGAGTGCTGGGAACCAAATCCTGGTTCCTAAGCAAGAGCAGTAAATGTTTTTAATGGCTGAGCATCTCCCCAAATCCCTTAACTTCTACTGTGAAAATATTTAGATACAAAAATAGAATTCAAAATAATCCCATACAAAATAGATTACGATAATGTGATTATACTATAGTTATTCATTCATGACCAATCTCATTTCTTTTATAATTATACCTCTGCTGTCATCCCTGGATTAGTTTAAAAGGAACTCCAAGCACTGTATACATTTAAGCTTTTTAAATTATTTGATAGTTTCATACACATGTATAATGAATTTTAGCTAATACCCATTCTCCTTTCTCATCTCCCTCTTTCCTGCTGGAACCCTTCCTCTCAACAAGAAACCCCCTACCGTCATGTCTTGTGTGTGTGTGTGTGTGTGTGTGTGTGTGTGGGTGGGTGGGTGTGTGTGTCTCATTGAGTTTGGAGTTTCTTGCATGAGAATGGGTGGGACCAAGCATCATATATTTAATCTATAAACAGAACTGCAAGGCCATTATCATTCCCAAAGAATGAGTAATTCCTGGCCATCAAGCCTTCAGCAGTGTTCAATGTCCTGGTATTATGTGATTTTTTACATTTCTTTTGTTTGATTCAAGTAACGTTATATATGTTGCATTTGGTTGACATGTTGGTGTCTCTTGAAATGTATAATCCCACCTCTGTCTCTGTCTCTGACTCTCTTTCTCCTCTCTCTCTCTCTCTCTCTCTCTCTCTCTCTCTCTCCCCCTTCCCTCTCTCCTTTTTTTAAAAAAATAAGTTATGGAGAAGACTTGTCCTGAAAAGTTTTGCATGTTCAGATCCTGCTAATTGCATGACCATGATGTCATTTAGTGTTCCTCTACCCTGGATCCACTATGCATTGATGGTTCTACCTAGAACCTTGGTCTAATTCCAGGTAGGTTTTTTTTTTTTCAGCAAAAATACTTTCTAGATAGTCATTATTACTTTTTAATCTATTTCTTTTAAGACAGGATCTCATGTAGCGTAGGCTAGTATTGAACTCATATGTAGCAAAGGATGACCTTGAATTTATGATTCTCCTGCCTCCATCTTCCAAGTGCTGGGATTACAGATGTATACCACCACATCTGGCTTTATGCTGTGCTATGGATCAAACCTGGGATCCCATGCATGCTACACAGTATTCTACCAACCGAACTGCATCCCCAGCCCATCTTTATTATTTTAACTGAATTTATTTGATTAGTGCTAATGTTGGACTTTTGCTTTGAAGGCATAATGGGTATTTCTACAGGTTCTTGTAAACTTTGTTAGAGTTTTCTCATGTTGATCTATAAAAGCTCTATATTGAGGGAAGCAACCTAGTTTGTGTTGCCTATAGATATCTTTTTAAAGGCCTCAGGTGAGTTCCGTTTTTTGCTGTCGGAGGGATCCTAAGTGTCTCCCCTCTGAAACTAGTGCAACTGGGGCTGGAGAGATGGCTCAGTGGTTAAGAGTACTGAATGCTCTTGCAGAGGACCCACGTTCGATTCCCAGCACCCACATGGCAGCTACGAACTGTCCTTAACTCCAGTTCCAAGGGACTCCAAAGCCCTCTTCTGATCTCTGTGGCACTGCACGACACATGTATTGCATTCACACACATGCAGGCAATACACTCATACACATAAAATGAAAATAATAAAATAGTTTTAAAAATCTTTTAAAAAAGAAACCAGTGCACCCATTCTCACCCAAGCCTCTGATTCCTGTGGGGAAACTGTCCCTATCTATTTACCATTTCAGGACCCCATAGACAGCAGTTTTCCTCTGGGATTCTGCTGTTGCTTAGGGTGAAAGAGGAAGATGCTGGGGGACTGAGGTAAGGATCATAGCATTCCTTCCAACAAAAAGGAAATGGTGGGGACCAAACCAAGAAGGGAGGAAGGGAAAGAGGGAGGGAGATATGCCTGACATCTGTCCAGCCCCTCATTTTACAGAGGGGACACTGGGAGCCCCAAGGTAGAAGAATCTTACCTTATATAGCCACACCACAACAAGGGCACAGTATAAACAGTGTCAGGAGGTTGGATTCAGATCCTGTCATCACCATCTTCCTGATGTGTAATCTTGAGTATGTCCCTCAATTTCTTTGATCTTGTAAAAAAAAAAAACTGTTTTGTTTTGCTTTTTGAGATAATCTTGCTATTGTAGCCCAGGCTTACCTAGCACATGCAGTCCTCCTGCCTTAGCCACTACACAGTGTGTAAAAAAGAAAATTCTCTTTTTCTTAAGGTGGAGGAGTATAAGAGTGCTGACCTCAAGTCAGTTGTGGTAGATCATACCTTTTATCCCAGCACTTAGGAGTCTGGGGGGGGGGGGGAAGAAGGGAGGAAGGAAGGAAGAAGGAAGGAAGGGAGGGAGGGAGGGAGGGAGGGAGGAACAGTGACTCCAAGATAGAGATAAAGAGCTGATGCAAATGCACATATGCATTCCCCAAAACCTTGGCCTGATAAAAGATCAGAAATCAACAGGAGTTTAGAACACCGAGTACAGTTATGCCCATTCTAAAAGCAAAGAAAGCCAGGATCCAGCAAATGGGACTGGCTTGCAGCAGGTTGGGGCTGAGATCCTTATTGACCCAAGACCCTTTCCTTGGGTATCCCTTGGAGGTTAGCAACCTCTGACTTCCTGTATAGGTTTAGTGCTAGAGTGATGCCCCTCTATGCTGAGACCTGACCTGTGAGCACTAGCTTCCATATGAAGAGGCGCAGCCCAGGGCGCTCCCTGACCAACCCACTCCCTTTCCTTGAGCCTGTGCCAACTCACCTGTCAATGTCCTTATGTGGCATTTGCATGTAACCCAGGTATCTTCATGCACAGGCTTAACATGACAACCCTGGGAAGGAGACAGGGCAGGACAGACAGATTCCTTACACGTGAGGAAGTTGAGTGAAAGGCAGACGGAGCACACAGAAAGTCCTGGCATGGGACCACACCTCTGAGTTCCAACTACAT